CGGTGCCGGCCGCGCGCTCGAGGACTTCCAGGCGGTGGTGCAGCCCATGCTGGCCGAGGCCGAGATCGCCACCACCGTCTTCATCACCGGTGAGTCCGCGAGCAGCTCCCTCACCTCCTCCTCCCTTCCCAGGACCCTACCTGGGTGCTGCTGCCCCGGATGGGCTCCTCCAAGGACCTTGTACCCCCAACACCGCCACGGCTCCGGCTCCCGCGGGGATGGTTTGGACAACACGGTGGGTGGGCTGTCACAGGTGGAGTGGCCAAGGGTACCAGGGGACATGGCTGCACTCAGTAGGGGTGACTGCCTCACCCCTGGCTGGGACCCCCGTGGGGCCAGCGGGGCTGGGGGCACTGTATGGGGGGTGGCAGCTGGCAGGGCAGAGGGATGGAGGGTGATGCTCGACTCTCTGCTTTCCCCTGCAGAGAGACCCCACCACGCTCATGAGAAAGTACGGGATGAGGACCTGTCGCAGTGGGACACGTTGGTGGTCATGGCCGGGGATGGGCTCCTGTATGAGGTGAGAGGGGCACCGCGGGACATCCCCCTGGGGTGGGCACAGAGCCGGGAGGAGAGGGATGCCTGGGGCAGGAGCCCACCTTTGAGACACGGAGGCGGGCAGGGAACGGCAAAGGAGAGATGACACCCGGCTTGGAGCAAAGCGGGGCGGCCACGGCCGTGGTTCTGCCCTGCACGGGGACACCGCAGACCCTGCTCCCCCCGAGCTGCGTGGGGACCACCGGGGTCCTTGCACGACCCTGGGTGCCACCAGCTCCCTCGGTCCCTGCAGGTGGTGAACGGGCTCATGGAGCGGCCAGACTGGGAAGACACCATGAAGAAGCCGCTGTGCATCCTGCCGGGGGGCTCCGGGAACGCCCTGGCCGCCTCCATCAACCACTACGCAGGGTGAGCCCCGGCCCCGCGGGGGCACCCACTGCTGGCACGTGGGGCTGCGCTGGCACCGAGACCGGGGCGTGAGGGAAGCGAAAGCCCTGGGAAAGGGTGCTGGGATGCCCAGCACGGGGATGCCCACCTGGGGTCCCCCCCCAGTTCCCGCAGCACCAATCGGTCCCTGCGAGCATCAGCTTGCATCCCCGCGTCCCCAGCTGCCCCCATGGCCTTTCTCTTCTCCGGGCTCTGAGTCTGGCACAGATTTACCCCAAAGGATCCACTCCTGAGCACAGCCGATGCTGCTGCACAGCGGGGGGACTGGGATTGCCCTGGCCCAGCAGCCCCAACTCAGTTCCCTCTTTCAGGAGCTGGTTTATCCCTCCCACCCCCAACAAAACCTCTCTCAGGAGCTGCCCCTGAGGGACACTGTCACCCAGCTGGGATATGTCCCAGCTGTAACACAGGGATGAGGGTGGCACATGGATGCTGGGACAGGAGGAGAGGTCCTGAGCCGGGTCCAGCGCAAACTCACCTTCTCCATCCCTCGCAGCAACGATCACGTGGCCAAGAAGAAGCTGCTGACGAACTGCACCTTCATCCTGTGCAAGGGGCTGCACACGCAGATGGACCTGGTCTCGCTGAGCACGGCCTCGGGCAAGCGCCTCTTCTCCTTCCTCGGCTTCGGCTGGGGCTTCATCTCAGATGTGGACATCGACAGCGAGAAGTACCGCCGGCTGGGCAATGCCCGCTTCACCCTGGGCACCCTCCAGTGCCTGGCCAAGCTGCGGGTGTACCAGGGCCGCCTCTCCTACCTGCCCGCCCTCCCCGAGCAGGGCACCCCCCCGG